ACAAAGCCGTAGCATTCTCCAATGCAACAATAAATTGGCTCCCTCCAAACTGTTTTTCAATGTTTGAAAAAATATCAGGATTTGATCTGGTCTTTCACATGTTCGTTCCGGTAATATTTACTGGAATACGTTTTGTCTTTGGTAGAAAATGAACAATCCATCATAAAGCCGGAATGGACATGATAGTGAAACTGGTAAAAAAAAGCGTGGATTTCATTTCATCCGAACCTACTGACAAACAGTCTCATAAAGGCTGAGTCCAAATCCAGAGTGAATCAGCCAATAATGCAGTCCTCAAAAGATAAATGCGATCTGCTCGAAGGTCTTACATATTGTGTCTATTGATGAGTATCATTTTGAATTAGAAACCGCCTATCTAATTTGATAATGAAGTAGGAAATTTAAAAATGGATAAAATCTGAGTTATAGCTCTCAGTTAAACTCATCGCAAACCAATCGGGCTTTTATGGTCCCTTTTGTTATAGTGGTCTCTGCAGTCACGGCCATAAGATTATTCTTGCCGGTTGAAGCGAATTCCAGTTGATCGAATCTGACGCACTAAAGTGGCTGTTCAAACTGGAGAACGCTAATTGCGATTCACTCAGCGTGGAGTAAGACATTAGATCACAAATCGATCAATAACCGCCGAGCGGGTGTTTGAACGTTAATCGGCAATTGTCTGTGCCAGAACATTGACGAATTCGGACCGGTCACTAGCCGAAGGTCATCGTACCGGTTACGATCTGGGTCTAATGAACCCCTTGTTGCGTACTTCTACTTCGTGAATCACATGTTGAGCTTCGTAATAAGATCATGACTAATAACGGCGGCACTCATGTCGACCAAAGTTGGTCATGTCGGATGAATCGGTTGCTTTCAGTACGCGACGGCAACAATAAAAACAAACAAATCAAAGGATGTCTTTAGACACCATGTTGCACATTTCTCAGCAGAAAAGCACTGATTGATTGCACAGTGAACGAAGGGAGCTTCGAATACGGAGAAGAAATCGGTGTACTACGCATGTCCAGTAAAAGATATTTAATGTGGTTGCCATAATGTGGTTTCTCTTGAGTGCTCTTTTGCAAACGAATTGAACATTAAATCACGCGTGTACGGTCTAGTCCAAATCGTCAATTGTACCATAATTTTGTGACGTTCAGTTCAGTTCAGTTCTCACAGGACGAGTTGTGGCTCTTGCCAATCGAGCGTCCAGATTTGTGTGTTTTCGGCGAGTTTCCTTGGCTTCCAACACTTCGATATGCAATTTTTCTGAAAGACAAAAATATGTCGTGCAGTATCACATCCCTTGTGGTTAGGTTATAGGTGGTACCAAATACTTACCTCAGGGAAAACCGCTATCTAACACTCATCAGTTGCCTTTTTAAACGCATCTACAGTACTGCAGCTTACCACTGACAGCGGCNGACAGCGGCAACCGGTTCCACCACGGAATTACCTTTTTAGTGAAAAACGCCTTCAGTTGCAGCCTAGAATGGCTTCGCTGCAAACATAAGGTATATCCCCATGTGCCTCTATGCGGAACCCACGAGAACAGGTCGTCAAAACTAAGGTCTGACATACCCTTGATGATCTTAAATGTCTCGATTAGGTCTCCTCTCATCCGCCTCCGTGTGAGGGAGAACAGACTTAAATCTATGAACCGCTGCGCATAGCTTTTCCCCCGTTGCCCAACTATCATTCTCGTGGCTAGACGTTGAACCCTCTCTAAGGTATCGACGTCCTTCCGAAAGAACGAAGCCCAAGCCTGCACACAATATTCCAGATGCGGACGGACGATCATTTGTAAAGAGGGACAAAGACCTCTGGTTTTCTGCANNNTGGGTGCTGGGTTTAAAATCCCGCGTGACCACTATGCCTAGATCCTTTGCCTCGTGCACCCTTTGCATCGGCAGGCTCCTTGCTGTCTCTTCGTCATTTCTGGTCGTCAGTATCTGACATTTAGAGACATTTATTGACAGGTTCCATTTTTCGGCCCATCTTTGTACTACCTTTATGTCCCTTGCTAGATCCCATCCAGCTACCTTGACGTCATCTGCAAACAGGAAACAGGGATTTTGGAGATCCCGTGCTA